GGGAGAGGCCGGAGACCATGCAGCTGCAGACTGGTGCCCTGGTGCTGTCCTACCTCAGGGAATGGCATTCCTAGGTACTACAGCATAGAGTTCCTCAGCTCCTTGGGTCCTCTTACCTCACATGGACAATGGGGACAACAATGCCCACCTCCCAGGGTTTTCATGAGGATTAAATGGCATGAGCTATGTTAATGACCTAGCATCCAAGAAGCCTTCATCAAGCATCACTTCCTACCTGACCTTTGCATGAAATATAAAAATTATTACTCCTATGAATCACATAGCTTCCAGCTCCCCTCATAGCTATTCTTAAAGAGGCTTTGCAAGTTTTGTCCCTTCTGGATTTTAACATATTCAAACAGATAAAAAGTACATAGGATTTTGCTCAGCTGTTGAATGAATGAAATTTCCACAGACATCACCTGTAGCAGACAGAGTAGCATGAAATCTGAACATATTTTCTAAAGAAGCTTAGACTGACAGGCATTATGGTGGGAGTTTAATTCTTAATTCCCAGTAATTGTATATATACATGATCAATGTCACCTCATTTTAGGCTGGAAATAGAGTACAAAAAAATCTACCCTTGAGAACCATTCAAATTTGAGGGAGAACAATTGAATGTTTATTCTGTGTTAAATAAATGTCATACACCACCTCGTCTGAAAAAAGAGAACGGCTTATGTAAATTTTGCTTGCGTGAATGTGTGTTTAAATTAAATTGAGTCAGAACTTGCCTTGGGGAATATCTGACACTAGGCAAGGGCTACTGACACACCTGGGGGCATCCATGAGAGCCCACCCTGCCCCCCACAGTCTTGGAGGGGGCAGCTCTATGAACCATCTCCTACCCCCATCCTCTTACTCCCTCCCATGCTAATTGGACCAGAAATGGAAATCATTCCAGGCTGGGCCACTTAAATTCCTTCTCTGGGGAATTCAGAATTAGGACACAAGGGTTGAATGCATGAGGGATGGGGTAAGAAGATTTGCTGAAAGGTCCAAGACTCAGGGGCTGATGTTTCCATTCTGACAGCCTCAGTGGGCTCTAAACATCCCCAAAAGCAATGGGCAGAGGCTGGTCTGCTGAGAGAAGGAAGCAGGCGTGTAGAGCCAGGGAGAGGCCGGAGACCATGCAGCTGCAGACTGGTGCCCTGGTGCTGTCCTACCTCAGGGGATGGCATTCCTAGGTACTACAGCATAGAGGTGGCCCCTGGGGCTGCAGTGTGCTATACCTCTCCTGGAAAGAGTAGTTGCCTTGGCCTCTGGTCCTCAGCTCTATTTTCTTTTCCTGGCTTTGCGAGCTCCTCCTGTAACATTTACAAGTTTTCCTTTCCCTTGGGCTTCTCTGAGTGGGTTTCATTTAAAGCTATGGTCTCCAACCCCTGGGCTGAGAACTAGTACTGCTTTGTGGCCTTTGAGGAGAGGGGCCTCACAGTAGGACGTAAGCAGAGAGCAGGTGCTTGAGCAAAGCTTCATCTGTATTTACAACTGTCCCCCCCATCACCTGCATCACCACCTGAACTCCATCTCCTGTTGTATCAGTGGCAGCATTAGATTCTCACAGGAGCACGGACCCTACTGTAAACTGCACAGGTGAGAGATCTGGGTTGCAAGCTCCCTGTGAGAATCTAATGCCCATGCCTCACCTCCCACTCCCATCCACTGAAAAATTGTCTTCCTTGAAACCAGTCCCTGGTGCCAAAAATGGTTGGGCATTGCTGCTTTAAATCAAATGATTCCAGGACCCTGACAGTCCTGAATACGTGAGGCAGGCCACACACTATACACTCCAAGTGACCAGTCAGGATGCTTTCTATGTGAGTACAAATCAAAGGAAAGAGGCCCTGAGCTCTGGCCTCTGCCCATCTCTGTCTTGAACATATCCTCTGACCTGTCTGTCCCTATCTGTCCAGTGGGGACCAAGCATCCTAGGCTAACATCTCCAGGTTCTTGGGAGGGTCCAAAGAGACAGAGTAGCGCTCTGAAAGGTAAAGGTTGTGCCCTTGCTGAGTGATGGCAGCTCACCTGTTTAGGCCCTGGCAGTAGCCGATTGTGGGGTTCTGCCAGGAGAAGGCGAGCAGCAGCCGGCGGAGCTTGTCCGGGAAGCTGGAGGTAGGGCAGGTGAAGTGCTTGTTGTTGGGGAAGGTACGGTTCAGGTCCAGCTCGATCTGGCGGGCGGCAGGGTGCTCACTGGCCTGGCTCCGGCTCAGAAGCTCCTGGTAGTAGCCAGGTGTGTGTAGGTGCTGGACGCGGAGATGGACCAGCCACCTCCAGACGCGTGGCCGGTGCTCGTGGGGCACTCCTGCCCGCAGCAGCTGCTTGAGCTCGGCCGAAGGCATGAGCTCACCCAGGGCAGCCCAGCGTTCCCGCAGTGGCCGCTCCACCGCCTGGAGGCCCAGCAGGTGGTGAGAACGCACCTCCAGTGCCTGGATCTTAGCCAGCAGCTTCACGTCCTCCACATCATAGTCAGGCACCCTCAGGAAGCCATATTCGTCATATTCACTGCCAAAAGAAGCCCACTAGCAAAGCTGTGCAGAGCCTTTCCCCAGAAAAGGGGCAATGGAGAGGAGGAGGAATCTGGGCCAGCTTCCTGCTGGCTTTATGGAGAGTTAGCCATGCAGCTCGGAGCATGTTATTTCAGTTTTCCCAACCTCAGTTTGCTCCTCACTATAATGGGTATAGGAACCCCTGCTCTGCCTCATGAAGACCTTGTGATATCCTCTGTTGTAAGCTGCTGGAAGCCTAGATAGTACCTGGGGCATAGTAAATGCTTAAGAGATATTGATTCATTCATTCTGTGCAAATATAAAGGACTCCCTTATTATTCCACACAGGCTTAGGCCCAAGAAGTCCCACACTGCTAACACAACCCTGTTCACCATAGCCAGTAAGCCCAAGGGTGGGTGGGGAACAGACAGCACCAACGGCAAGCAGAGGTCGGGGGGCTGGGGTCCCATTCCAAAAGGGCTCTCATTGACTCAACATTTATTCACCTCCAGTACGTGCCTTGCACATACTATCTCATTCAATCCTAACCATTCTCCCATAGAGGGGTCTTAGCCCACATCTTATGGAGACTTGAGTATGAGGATCCAAAGCCAGGTCTGGCCCCAAATCCTGGCTCCTGCCACTGGGCCACCCAGCCTCCATGGGCCTTCAAGCACAGCCATGATCCCTTCCTTTATATTTAACTGTTGAGTCCACTGTGCTCGGCAAGGACTGAGTGCAGGGTCACTCCTCCTCCCCTCTCTGGTAAATAGGTCTGGGAGGCAGCCTGGAGGAGTGGGAAACACAGGGCTCTGCAGACAGCCCCACATCTGTACCAGCGTACAGATGGTCTGTATGGTCATGGTAAGGGGCCGCCTTCCCCAAGCCTGCACTGTACAACTGCAGGCTCATGGATCTGGAGATTGGAGGTGGTGGTAGGGGGTGCAGTGCTTGAACATGGTTGGCAGGGACTGGCAGCTGCAGGGCTCACCTGATGGGGCTTGGCTCCATGCTGTCAGAAGTCTCGCCAGCTTCCCACTGCAGAGCCTCCTGGGTGAGCTGCCTCAGCAGCTCCGCACATGCATACTTGCTGGCTTCGTCTCCCACGGCCTCCTGTAGCCTCCGCAGCCCCGCCAGGTACTTGCTTTCCACCTGGCAGTTCCTGGCTTGCAGGTAGGCACACTGCAAGAGGGAGAGGGACAGCTGGACAAGCCATGTAGCTGGGCCTGGGCTGCCCCCAGCTGTATGGCAGCACTGCTCTCATCTTCCCCAATTCCCACACCTTTGTGCAAGGGCAGGGAGATGGGCCCTGAATGCTGTAGTTTACAGCAAGGCAGAAAAGAGGGGACTAGGCCCAGGGTTAGAGCTGGTTCACAGACAGAGAGAAAAGGTACACAGGGATAGTACAGGCTCTTGCATGGCCTAGAGTGCCATCCTGGTTCAGCAACAGCTAGTTGTGTGGCCTGTGGCAAGTTACTTAACTTCTCATGCTTTAGTTCATCCATCTGTAAAATGGGGATAATAGACAGTCTGCGTCAGGATCCTGGCAAGGATCAGATGAGTGGATATGTAAAAGTGCTTCCCAGGGCACTTGGAACAGAGCAATCTCTCTGTAAGTGGTATGACCCAGCACTTGCCCAGGGGATGGGCACTATCCTTGTGCCCTCTGCTGCCACCATGTGGGCTCTTTCTGTTCCTCCAACATATTACATCCCTCCCACTTCTTGGCCTTCACACACTCTTTTCCCTTGCCTGGGACATCCCACTACATGCCTGCTTCCCTTGAACTTTTGGGTTTCTACTTATACAAGCCAGATGGTGTGCTAGGAAGGTCAGGCAACCTCCTTGTTTTCCATCTTTGTGAGATAGGGACAGTAAAAGTTTGTCCTGTGTTGCCATGACTCTTGGGCCACCCTGGTTCCCATCTCATCCTGGGGTGGCAGAGAATGGGGGAACCTCAAGGGTAAGACTGCAATTCTGCTACACTGCTGCCCAGGTCACCATCTCCAAGCTATCCTTGCCCTGCTCTCCTTCTTGTCCCCCTTGGCTCCCCTGCTCTCAGTAGGGCTCCTCGGGACAGGGCTTCTCAGGGACTCCTGCTACAGACTCCAGCCTCCCTACTTCCAGGCCCATGTCCTTAAGTTCACCCTCCTCCGAGCGGCCACAGCAGTCTTCTTCATTACTCACAATCCTCCAACAATTCCCTGGTTTCCTCAGAATAAGCTCCAAACTCCTCATCTCCAGCCTCATATCTCTTCCTCCCAGCCCTGCTCCCTACCCCCAGGCCCCAGGTCTTTATTATGCTGTCTCTCTTCCTGGAAGTCCTTTCTCCACTGGTTGCCAGGATATCACTAACTGTTAGGACTCAACTCAGAGGGCACCTCCTCCAGGAAGCCCTCCCTGACTTTCCTTCCACTGTATGGGCCCCCAAGAATCCTATGAGCCCTACTTCATCTTGATCATGTTCAACTCTCTCACTGGTCTGTTCCCTCATTGCGGACAGAGACTGGGTTTATTGGTCTCCACACCCCCAGCTGCCCAGGGTACACTACCCAGTGAATATTACTGAGTAGATGACTCAGTCAACCAGACCACAGGGGTCTGGAAAAGAGGCTGACACAGACCCTGCTCCTTCCAGAAGGAGAGCAGATAGGCAGTGAGGAGAGTAAGACAGGGGTAGGCAGTGTGGGACTAGAGGGTGGCCAGGAACACAGACAGCCAGAACAGGGCTCCTGCCACTCACCTTCATCAGGAGGGCCTTCTCCTTCTCAGCCACCTTTCTCCAGATCTTTGTGACCTGGTGGATCTCGGAGTTCAGGAAGCGGTTCTGGGTCCGGTAGGCTTCCATGTCATCCTGGAGAAGAGAGCAAAACATTTTGTGAGTTGTGCCATAAACTTCTCCCTGGGCTAGGAGAGTCACATCCTCAAATGAGCTGCCAAAGCCTCCTTTCTTTAGGAATTTCTGATAATGGCAACAGAAAAGGAAGTCTGAAAGAAACAAAATTACCATAGTCCCTTTCTCTATTCTTGACACCAGCATGATGTGGTCAAGAGAGTGCTAGGGCTGAGTTCCAGACTTGGTTCTGACATCCTGACTCAGGAAGGACACTGAACCACTCTGACCCTCTGTTTCCTCATCTGTAAAAGGGGTAAGTACCAAGTACCCTACTGGGCATCTGTGAGAATAAATGAGATTACATGTTAACACTAAGCAGGGGGACTGAAACACAGCAAGTGTTCTAGTGTTTGTTTTAGAATCAACCTATTTTATCACACTTACAATCATACTGTGGACATTTGTTTTACTCAGTGTTACTTTCTAAATATTCCCCAGTCATCTTTTTTTAATGTTTGAGGACTATTCTATTGGGTCAATTTATAATAATTACTTTTTTTATTTGAGCCCTGAGTGTTTTCACTTGGTTTTTAATTATGAATAATGCTGTGATGAACATCTCTGAGGTTTCCCTTTGCAAGATAGTCTGGTACAGGGAGTAAGCTCCTTGCTGCTGGGGCATACAAGGAGCGGCTGGATACGCACTGGGAAGGCTCAGGCAGGGACCTGAGCCTCAGAGAAGGATCATCTGCAGCTCTTGATCTTTCTTCTGATGAGGTAGATGCTACAAAACCATGTTATCACTTAACACGCTCAACGCTACGGCTAATAACTCCAGGGTATTTGTTGGCTGAGATGTGACCCTTTTCTCTCCCTCACCAATGTACTGGGCTATAGGTAAGTATAAGAGATGCTAGGGCAGGGATGACCTTGGACAGGCTCTGACTTATCTGAAAAAGAAGAACATCACACCATGTGCGCACACTCCCAGCCCTTGGTGAGTGGATCTTCATGCAGGCCAAGATGATCTCCAAGGTCCTCCCAGCCTAGAAGCTCCATTTTACGCCCAGGGTCTTCTGCCCTTCACCCAGACACTGACATGCTCGGAGGTCCTGTTCCCGGGGTTTCCAGGGCTGAAGATGAGTGGGCTAGGGTAACCTCATCTTGTGGCCTCACATTCCACTGAGGCTCTCCATGGTCCCCCCCCCCACCCTGGCCTTCCCCACACGGTGCCTAGACTGAGGGGCTGTGCTCCAGGGGAGCATGCTCTCTGCTCTCTCCTGGCTGGACCCAGGCAGCTCTGGCTTCCTGGCCTTGTCTCCCTGCTCCTCTCCAAACATATCCCTCCCTAGATCAAAACTCAGGCTTCCTGACTCTCAGAAATGCTGCCCATGCATGCCAGCTGCTCTTCTGGCAAGTTCCTGCCTGCTTTCCCCAGCACTCCCATTTCTTCATGCCTGTGTGGCAGGAGCGGGAGACTGGGGAGAATCCTTACTCTGGTGGTACAAAGACCAGCTAACCTCCCGAGAACATCAGGATTCTCTGGGACCTCTCTCTACACCCATGATAGACTTAACATTTTAGGGTCTGGAGATTTAGAAAACTTACAAACTCAGAGGCTGCGAGGCTTCCTGTATTACCCCAGGACACCACAACACAGAGTAGGTTATCTCATTTAATTCTCCCAGCAACCCTAGAAGGAATGGCCCTTTTTCAGATTACTCCTGGGAACACAGATGAGCTTTCAGAGGCTCTAAGGGGAAGCAACTTGCCCAAGACCATAGGGTCAATACAAGGCAGGGTGTGACCCAGCCTAGGTCTGTTTGCTTATAAAGTCCCAACCACATGATTTCCGGCCAGGCACCCTCCGAGCTCCCTCCCAGCTGAAAGCCAGCTGGATGCCAGAATGCTAGTCCGCACTCTTCAAAGGCTGTCTTTTGAAGCCTCCTGGCTGAAACACAGGGACTTATGAGACCTCCCTACCCAGCAGGCAGTATCCTAACAACACATCAAAGACACTGGCACTGCCCATGTGCCAGCATAGCCTGGTGGTCGGGGCTACTGGGGCCTCACTGCCTGGATGTAAACTCTGCCTCCACCATTGAGACCCTGGACAAGTCATCTTGCCTTTCATCTGGAAAATGAGGATGATAATAATAGCACAACCTCCAGAGGTGGCTGGGGGAGTCACTTAGCTATACAAAGGATTTAGAAAGTGCCATGTGCAGTGTGAAGGTCCTCTCCCTCACTGAACTCTCCAGCAGCTTGAGACCCCCATTCCCTACCTGCCCCCATCCCCGTCCTTCCCACAGCTGCTGATGCGGACCCTCCCACAGTCTGGGTATACGCAATGAGAGGCAAGGGAGCAAAGGACCTTCCATTACCCCACTTCCTCCTGTGTGCCAGGCCCATTGCCCTCACTTCTATTACTTTGTTTAATTTAATCTTTACCACCGTGCTGTAGGTAAATACTAAAGGACTATATGATGTGCATCTGACAGATGAGGAAACAAGCCAGGAGAAGGTAAGTTCCCCTGTCCCTGAATCAAGGCTGGACTGGAAGGAAGCCAGGAACAAGGTGTGCTCCGCCCAGAGCCAGGTGTGCTCAGCCCACAGCCGGTGCTCAAGAAACGCTGCTAAGTGGCAGAGCCGGACTCCAGTGCCGAAGACGGCCCCAGCACCTCGGCTCCTGACTCCTTGATACCATCCCAGGCCTAGAAGGTGCTCTCAGGCATTTCCAAGGCTTTGGAAAGAAGGCTTTTGCTACATAAGATGCCCCACTTCCAGCCCCAGGGAAGGCACAGGTGTGCCAGACAGGGAGGCAAGGGTGAACTCTCCCTTACCATTCAGCTCATTGTCCTACCTTGAGTGCTCATCTTGGCTCAGAACTGTAGGGAAGAAAAAGAGAAACCTCAGAGAAGGGAAAAGTCACATGACAGTCACCAGTGGAGCAAAAAAGGAAAACACAGCCCAGAAGGGGGACAGGAGAGAGGAGAGCCTGACTGCCTTTGCAGGGATCAGGAACCTAGAATTCTCCAGGACATGCCCGTGGACAAGGCCCTGTGCTCCAGTGGGGGAGGCAGTGGACTGGCATAGGAGGCTGGCCCTAGATGCAGCCTGCCGCCCATGTCACTGGACCCTGGACCAGGCCTTCCCCTTTCCCCACTCAGCTGTCCCTGACACAAAGCAACAGGGTCGACTAGATTTTTAAGTCTTTCCAACTCTAATATTCAAGAAGTCAGTGATACTATTTCTAAAATGACTTTCTCAATAACAAGGGACCATTTCCCTAAAGTTGGGGGTCCTCAATCATAAGGCAAGCAAGAAATGTGAACACTCTTCTCTCCAAAGTTAAAGACAATGGATTTTCGATGGGTCTTCTAAAAGCTAGAAAATAAAGAACACCAAGTACATGCAACTCTTAAGCACAAAACACTGGGCCACTGAAGATCACGTGGAAATGTACATTTGGTTAATGTGAGTTTATCCAAAATAAATTGAACAGATGAGTAACTTTCAAAATAAATTGCAGCACACATTAATTAGGGCCACACCCAGTCCACGATTACAATCAACTCTCTGGGCAGCCTGGAGCCACCTAGCTGATCTATTTCTTTGAGCTCTGCACTGCTCTATTGTGTCCTGAATAGAGGATTCCAGCAGGAGGGATGGGCTGAGATAAGAGGAGGGCTGTCAGTAGTGGGAGGACAAGGGGGATGCAATTTGATGCAAGTAGTGCTCACCTGTCAGTATGGAGGACTCTAACAATACCTACTGCATCAGAGTCTGAAAGGTGTTTGTTTAGAATCTCTGATTTCACACTAAATAAGGTAAAACGTTCAGGGACTGGTTATGTGATTTTTCAGTCTTTGCTGACATAAAGATGGGAATCTGGGTTTCATGTTCTCTTCCTTTATCTTTCTAACAACCCCATAGTGGAGGAGAGGTTGGGCCATTTTTTACAGAGGTGAGATAACTTGCCCAAGGGCAGACAGCTAGTCAGAGGCAGAGCCAGAACTCAAACACAGGTCTGTCTGAGATTAAGGCTTGGTTAATGTCCACTGGGCAATGTTGCCCACTGAGAGTTTTTCTCTCAAAAGTGTCCTGATTACTTTTATCTTTTCTCCCTCCACTTCTAGCAGTTCTTTGATACAGAGGCATGGGAGTTCCCAAAGTTCTATGTGTGCATGGACAGTCACTCAAGGCTGGGGATCTGCCCTGATAAATGCGCTGTTGGCAGTCTTATTGTTCAAGCATCACAGAGTGGATTCACACAGACCTAGGCAGTGCAGCCCACCACACACCTAGGCTAGATGGTAGTGTAGACAGCTGTAGCACAGTGGCATTTGTGTATCTAAATGTATCTAAACATAAAAAGGTCATGTCGGTGCTATGATGTCACAATGCCACAATGTCACTAGGTGATGGGCATTTTTTAGCTCCTTTATAATTGTATAAGACTATAGTCATTGGCTAAAATGTTGTTATGTAGCACATGACTACACATGTGTGGCTCTTAGTGGCAGGATGTGGGGCAGGACTGTCCTGGTTACTGGCTCCTTTAGGGATAGTGGGGGCACTGAGCACCCTCCCCAGCTTCGGGCCACCAGGTGGTATAGCTCCTGGCACTACCATCTAGAGAGGAGGGTGCAGCCCATGGATCAACACCTCAAATAAAGCTCCTGTCCCTGTGGTACCTCTGGTCCCTTGGGATGTAGCAGCCTGAGGAGAGACAGGGACAGTGAAGGGGAAGGAAGGGGGAGGCTGAGATGATGGCAGCAGCTAGTGGAGACAGCAGAGCCAGTGGACTGGTCAGCAGATGTGAGCTCCCATCCAACTCCAGCTCCCCACCTCTTCAGCACAGGGTCCTGAGCAAGATCCTTACCCTTTCCCAGCCTTGGTATTCGCATCTATAAAGTGCAAGCGACTGCCTCCTGGGCCTGGTGTGAGGACTAGAGACGATGCAAGTAGAGCACCTGGACAATGACTGGCACATGGCAAACATTCTGTACATTCTCCATAAATGGGAACAGCAATTATTGCCATTGTCATGAGCAAGCCATGGCCAGCTGCAGAGTACCTGCACTGTGTGCAGGACTGCTGGGGGAGGGTTGCCCTGGCACCTTGGGGCTCCTGAAAGCATCAGGATGGCACTAAAGAAGGCTGACCAGGCCAGGCCCCAGACTCAGCTGGTCTTGGGCTCTTTCAATCTCAAATGTGAAAATCTAGATACCTTTACTTTTCAGTCGCCCATGACACTGAGGTTGAACTGCCCTAAGCCTTCTAGTGAGGAAAGTAATGAAGCATAGAACAATATTTCCAACATCGAATTCCAACGTGACTATTCCAGGATGCAGGATCATCTGCCCCCATCTAGGAGACCCTGGGGTTGAGAGTGTGCCTTCCCGAGGGCCCAGGGAGAGGAGTGGCGCCAGGCCTTGGAGGGAGCCCCTACCTTCAAGTGCTCTATAGTCTCCTGCTGGCTCAGGGGGTCCCTGTCAGCAGGGTCAGGGAGGTGCATGAAGTCCCGGGTGACCTTCTCAGAGAGCTGGCAGATGACCTGCTGCTTGGCCTGGTTCTTGTCCATGAGCAGCTGTGCGTGCTGCTGCAGCTCCTGCACCTGCTCCTCACGCAGGCTCAGTTCCCGGGCCAGACACTCGCGTTCCTGCTCCAGCGCCTCCACCCGCCTGCCCAGCTCTGCGATCTGCCGAACTTTGTGTCGCACTAGCTCCAGCCGGTCCTTGTCCTCAGCTGCTGCCAGGTATGCACTGGACGCCCTCTTCTCCTGCTGGGCAGCCTCCAGTGCCTTATGCAGGACCCTCACCAGCTCCTGGGCAGGAACAGGGAAGCATCTTGTGAGTTTGAACATCACCAGCTCTTCTAACCATCCAGAAGGGTGCCCAGCAGCACCCGGGGCATTGCATCCCACTACCCCCTTTTGCCTTCTCTGTTCAAGACAGTGTTAGCTGGGCATGTGGTTCCCCAGCTCAAAATTCCATTTCCCAGTCAAGTCACGGCTAGGTGTGGCCAAGTGACTATCGTACTTAAATGGGAAAGTGATGGGGCAGCTTTAAAAACACTGGACACAGGCTCCTCTGGTCTAGTTTCCTTTCCTTTTGGCTGGGGACAGACAAGAACAAGAAAGAGTAGCCCTTGTGGCCCCACAAGCAGACGCTAGATGTTGAGAAAGGGAGTTGTCCTACCAGCTCAGTGCCATTTACCTACCTCCGGACTCTTTACTGTGAAAAAACCAAACTTTTCACTTGTTTTTGGCCACAACACTTGGAGCCTTCTTTGTTACTGCAGCTGAGCCCATACTGACAGATACACTCCGTTTCAGGGATGAGCAATCTGAGGCCCAGCA